AAACGTATCCTTGAATGCGGTGAATCACGATAGTTGAATGCTGGAACAGGGGAGTGTGTCTGCTATATACAGAGGCTAGGCCACTGAAGGACCGAGAAGCGGCGCTCCTGCGACGAAAAGGGCGTCTGTCATAGGTGTCAACGTCTCATACTTCTACTGTATCCTACTTTATCGATCGTTTTGTCTCTATTCTCCGAAATTGAACGCTTTGAGTTGGAGCAGATCGTTCGAGGAGACTTAAAGGCACGCTCCGCGATCAGGCGGGCTCGCCTGTTCCATCCAGGGGGTAGTAGGCAGGTGGACAAGTGTTGATGTCGGGCCCCTTTTGCGGCTTGAAAGTACGCGACAAAGGCGCAAGGAGCTCGTCCAACCCGCAACTCACACCTTCGTCCGCAAGCCCACCCTTCGCTGTCGGTTGCCACGTGGCGCTGCTTGAAAAGCGCGGGCGCATTTGAGGCAGTGGTCCCAGCGCGATCCAATGTTATTGACACTGGAGCAAGTAGAGTTAGGTTCGTGAAACTCGTCCAATTCGCCTCTTCTCTATCCCAAGGTGGAATGTGGCTGAAATAGGGGAGGTCTCCGTACGGGGCGGTGGTTTCGTTTGCTTTCCTTCTCTTTTACAGACCACCTCCCACCTATAGCTTCATAACTGAACGCTTTTCCACACCTATTTTATCCCGAATCTTGCCTTTAAGACTCCGCCGCTCTGGCGCTCTCATACCAGCACACCGAACAGTTATCCCAACTGCTGGTTCCATGTCGTCGGGCTCTAGCAGTTTTAGCAGAGTCACGACAGGCCACGAAAAGAACAAAAAATTGATATTGTGATGTAAACAACTCGAAAACCGAAGGAATTCTACGGTTTCGATTCACGCGGACATCTTGCCACAAACGCTGTTAATGGTAAACTCCACTGGATTTATGGAGTGCTGTCCATTAAACTCTTCGACTTTTTCACTTATTCCACAAACGCCTCATATTTAATATATCCTGTTTATCGTGTTTTGTCGCTATTCTCGAAAGCTGAACGCTTGGAGTTGGAGCAGATCGTTCGCTCCATCACGTCAGCACTGATGAGACTCGCCCAACGTGAAAATCAATGGGGAAAACAAAGGTTACATCCTGCGGGATTCAAGCCATTTGGCTAAGCTTTTTCTTCCTGTTGCACCTCCAGCACCTGACTTTCATTTTCATCCAAATTATCGGACGCCTGCATTCAAACAAGGTCGGAAATGGTATCGAAAGTGAACGAATAAATAGAATTAGACTTGACCGAATTAGGCGCTGTGCGACTGATAGCGCGAAAGCCTGTTCTGGAGATATGCTGCGAAGAGTAGGAGTGCGCGGGCGGAGAGGTCGGGGACAAAAGATTTGGGTACGCACGAGCATTTGTGATCTACCTGTTAAACACGAGGCTAATGTTCGACTTCAGTATCTTTATCATTCCTAACATGTGTGGCATATTTATTTATTTATTCTTCATTCGTTCAGCGTACGCCTTCAGTAGGTGTAAAAAGCATGATTTAAATAGAAATACTGTTAGCAAACAGAGGGCGGTGCTAGTCAGAGTCAACTGCGGCGCCGCGTCCAACGGCAGTGCGAAGTTTTGCCGATTAGTCAAGTTCTCTCGCCCGAAATTCACACTCGCCCATGTCGACGTCTGCGCTCTCGCCACTACGGTGCATTGAGGCATCTTCAACGTGCGTTTAGAACGCGAACGCACGAGTTGACGCTGAGTGCTTCAGTTATAGCACAAGATGTAGCGTGTACCTAACGATTAACGTGGTAATTTGTAAAGAAAATGTATGAGAGAGGAACCTGTTAAAAAGATTTTTTGAGTTATCTCAGTAGTCAGAATTAGACACTAGATTGATCCCAAACTTCTCTTTTGAGTTAGGAGCAATAAATGAGCATTGCCAGAGCCATTAGGTTCCGCACCTTGGAAATTACCCAGCTACAAGGCCGCTGTCCTGCAGGGGTGGGGACATTCCTTGAACTATTATAACTATGATCTCGGGGCGGCGGCTGTCAGAGGTCACGTCGGCGGACAATCTATCCGTGAGGACATAGTTTGCGGCTCTTGCTCGAGGAATCAATGGATGGCTTTATTTCTCAAAAGTGCTCAAAATTTGTCGATGAATCGTTCGCCCATAAGATTCCGACTCGGAATTTTAGTAATTTTCATTAATTGTATTCAAAATTACAAACCATGCGAGCTTACTCCAAATTTGTGTGATTCACGGGATGACCTATGTAGGTCGTCAGGAGTTGATATGAACAGAAACTCCCTCATAAAGCTGAATCCTTTGACAGTGCGTGGGATGCCGTTCATATTATAATGTAACCCCCCCCCCGATCATGTCGATTATTCCCCCCGCTGTACCTCGTCGGCAAAGACTCGACAGTGGGAATAGCAAATCGCATGTTGTTACACCAAGAAGTTCGCCATTTGTTCTCCTTTAATCAGAACGCACTTAGTGCCGCTAAATCGTGTCGAATTTATATTCAATTATGAATCGAACATCTCGAAAAAGTCTTCCGTTTCTAGTTTGATTGTGTGAGACAATGTGATCGTTGGGGAAAAACCTCAAAAAAGCTTCTATGAAGGATGCCTACTATATGATTTAAGGAGACAGGTGATGGTATTCCTCGATGTGGAGAGAAATTACTAAGTATCTTCTGCAGTCATTGGTTAGGTTCCTTTCTAAAAGGATCAGGCTTTTTAGCGTTAAAACGTTACTCTTAAAATAAAGAAATTGAGAATCCTTCTCGAAAAATTGTGATCTACCTCACCGATATGTCATTGGCGTGAGACCCATCGTTCACGATAACGAAAAGAACAAAAAGTTGCATTCGTTCTGGTGAACAATTTGAAAAAAACTGCGAAGCGTTCAAATAACCCGCTGGAACTCTGTCAACTAAGGCAAGGCAGTGCGAATGCTATCCACTGGGTATCACGGAGTGCTATCATTTAGAAACTCTGTTGAATTTTTCACTTTTCACTAACGTCTCACTTTTACTTCATGTCATCGATGCGCCAAATCGCACGCTGTAGCCCGATTATTCGCTGTCGCTTGATTACGTAGCCGCTCGAGGACGCCACTTTTTCATACTCTGCTTTGGCGCCGCGCATCTACCTTCGACTGTCCATTGTAATATTCGAAAGCAACAGTCCCAGCAGGGTCCTGCTTCTTTCAATACTAATGGCACTAAAGGATGCACAGGCCCTATTGGAGAACATCTAAAGTGAAGTTATTTAAAGAAAACTCACCTGGGAAAAGCCTAAAAAGGGCGTTAAATCCTCAAAGATGGGTGTGGTTGGAAGATCTCTCACCGATCTCCAACCACACCCATCTTCGAGGACCGCCACGCACCGTGACTAGAATGGAGGCATTCGCGCTCGTTTTGGGACCACAGGGAGTATTTGAACTCTGTCCTTTAAAGTAATCAATGTGATCCTGCCTGTTCACTGGAATTGTTTTTTTTGTTGTTGTGATGTTGTTATGTTATGTATAGTGTTATGTAATTATGTTAGTGTTATGCAACTGGAGCGCATTAGTGGCAAGTTCAGACAACTCGTCCAACGCGCGTCTTCCCACATCTCTGAGCGCCAGAAGGGGAGTCCCTGTTTAAAGCCCTGTTCGGCGTTTTCCTTTTCTTTGATTTTTTCGTCAACTATCGGTGCAAACTGTAGGGCCTATAGTACAGTTATGGATTGTAGTTACCCTCAAATTCCTGCTGGATTGTTGCTTTAAGCTGTTTCCCGGTCGAAGACGAATCTTGGAACGCGAACTTTGCATAGATGTCTTCATTAGTATCAAAGAATTTATGGTGGCGAAGAGAAGAGTTCCCTTGATAGGGACCTTTCATGATCACAAGGGTTGCATTATCGGGCAGTCAAAAACATGGCGAAACTGGGTCGACGATTCGTCGACGACTGCCGTCGTATTCTCGCCTGTTTGGTCGCGAACTTCCTTGCGCGGACACATCACGCAGCCACGAACGAGCCGTTCTCCGCCGCGTACTTCGCCCTCGACTGTTCTTACACGAGTGAACAGACCATGGTCAGAATTCAAACATTACTTCACCATGATACCAAACCCCCCCCCCCCCCGCCCACCCCCTAAGCGGTCGCTCGAGCGGGTCAGTAGTCGAGAAACAAACAGAAGTCAGCCGTCATTGGCATTACCAGCATGCGCGTCCCTGATAGAAATTTAAAACTATCCCTTCTATTATTATAAAGCGCTAACTTTGTGTGTCGGTTTGTGTATCTGTATGTGTGTGTGTGTGTGTGTGTGTGTGTGTATGTATGTATGTGTGTCCGTCCGCAAAATGAAGTGAGTGAGAAGGAAGCTCATGGGATAAACAAACCGCTAACAAATCGGGTAGCTTACAGGATTTGAGATATCAATGTTTTGTAGCAGGATAGTTGTGATAACACTCTTAGGGCTATATAAACACCTGCTTAGCACACTTCCGTTCATTCCACATGGTGCTGCAGTGGCAGCTGGAGGGCAGTGGAGAGAGGAAGGGAGGATGAGGAAGGGAAGCGAAAAATCTACCGTCATATCATGATTGTGTCCCTTCTACTGTATGAAACACCATTGTGTTGCATACGCGTCACTTCCAGGAGGTGTTGGTGTCACAGGAGGAAGGGACCATAGCGGAGGATAGAAAGCTTGCGCAGGAAAGGAAGGTCCCGGCGGTTGACGGGGGACTAATCTGGTCTACAAAAGGATATCCCAATGTACATATCCATACTACATTTCAGCAAAATATGATACGGTGGCGATTGAATCGCTTATGATGGGATTATTGAAGAAAACCAGAAAATTTTCATCTTATGTACAAAAGGCGATATTCTTCATCTTGCCAGCTTTGGCAAAGAGAACCGACTAGAAATCTGCATGTAATAATCCATAATAATATTACACACTAGTTCAACGCTGTTTGCCAAATACATACATATTTCACCAGATCAATCAACATTTTCAATTCCATCAATCGCCGTCACAGGCGTAGTCACAATGCACGAACGCTCGCTCAACAAATTCCAGTCGTTGAAGTTTTTTCCAGGATGATAACGGTCGTGTGTAATCTAGGAAACAGTATTGATTTACTTATGATTGAAAAGCGAAAATAATTATCGCCTTTAAACGGACCTCATGGCTCTTGATTTTTTTTATGATATGATTATTTTCAAAGATTATGAAGTTCTCTGAAAGCGCTCATTCTCTTGTACATATTGATGTACAACCCATGTGTATTTGCTTCACTATGGAGCTTATACACCAGCAAAAAGATTGCGCCTGCCGACAGAGTGCAAGTTGGCCGAACAGAATGCCTTTACATCTGCCGTACTCACCGAAGCCGAAACGAAAGCACAGTCGCCTGAGGATTGCCCGAGCGCGCTTGTTCATTACGCATTTTTTGTTGCTTTTGTTTGGTTTAGTTAAAAACTTATGAGTGAAATGAGAACGGCGGATGATTATTGCTCAACCTGTTGGTTGGAGCATAATATCGTAGCGTTTTTTTCTGAGCTAGAAATTCAATTAACCCAGGAAATCACATATATCATTTGAAAGTACTTCTTCCGCTCTACAATACCTTGTTTGTCATTTTCTTCTATATTGTAAGTGTACTCAGATATGGCGCTTAGAAGTTGGAAAATCAAGGTGGGCGAAAATCTATATAAAGAAAAAAGCTGCCAAAATAGGAGTTTTTCGGAATCCATCGTCATCATCGAACCTTACTCCGGTCGACCCCTAATTTCAAATCATATTCACGTCGTACAAATTGAGAATAATGAGGACTCTGGAAAAAGGCTCACAAGGAAAGGCTCCCAGGTCGCCATGGCCATTCAAGAAGAGATGTATACGCCTAGATGTGCCTTCGAACGCTGATCTCAAATCTACCTTCCAAATCTGCTAAACGATTCTCTGAACGGAGTTATGAAGCAAAACAGCGCAACGGTAGTGGTCGGGACTCACAGTCAAATGTCGTAGGATCGGTCCCTTATCGTGTTTACTGTTTTGCATTCTTCAGGAATTCAGCTATAGGCTATTAAAGCCGTTTAGCTGTATTCCTGAAGAATGGAAAACAGTAAACACGATAAGGGACCGATCCTACGACGTTTTGACTGTGAGTCCCGACCACTACCGTTGCGCTGTTTTGCTTCATAACTCCGTTCAGAGAATCGTTTAGCAGATTTGGAAGGTAGATTTGAGATCAGCGTTCGAAGGCACATCTAGGTATACATCTCTTCTTGAATGGCCATGGCGACCTGGGAGCCTTTCCTTGTAAGAACTCTTTTTTGAATTCTGGATCCGGTAATTTCTTGCGAAATGGAATCAAAGTCGTAAATAACGTCTCTGATATCTTTATGCTTAGCTTTGCTTTTGAGTTTTGCTTCAAACGTTTTGCCAAATGCGAGCGCTACGATATTCAGCTTCAAACTAACTAGTAATCTGGGTCTTTTTGGAAGTCTCATACCTTTCAGAGGTAAGCGTTCATCCATCACGATATGTAATTCGACAAAAGCTTTTGCACCCGTATGGTAGACCATCAGATGATCCAGGCAGCTAAAAGATTTTGTAATTCATGATCTGTACAGAGAGAATGAAGTGACATGCACAACCCTATTTGTTAGCACAGAAATTAGTGCGAGAGCTAAGCTCAAAACTGAAAATGGAACTACTTCCTGACCTATCACGGAAAACAAACTTTTAGTTTTCTGACTTAAATAAATCGGTCTACACAAATGAGTCCATAACTTGAGATTTTTTATTCATTACATTGCGCTAGCTGACAAGGTGAACTAATTAATCCCTTTGCCACAGCACTGCTCCATCTTCTATCTCTCTTATCGCCAGCAGCATAGCAATACATGAGCTCTGCTAGACATGTAATTGACCCTTTCAAAAATTAAAATGGAGGCAGGACGGTGACGGGGCCCTCTAACGGGAGACAGTGAAAATTGGGCAAAGGGTTTGTGGAGTGATGAAACGAAGTAGGTTTCTGCACTGAAGAACTTTATGAGACGGCTGAAATATCGCCATGTTAACGACACAGTCGCATCGGGGAGGATTTTGAAGGGATACTCCAGCATGGCCATGGCTTTGATAGCGACATCTACTACAATACTTTCACCTAACTCTAGCATTATTATACATACCGTATTCGCTCGTCGTGATCCATAGCGATTCGCAATATCCGGCTTAGTTGCTCTTGCTCAGCACGACGTCCCACGAGTTGAGGCACGCTGTCGACGGCGTGACGAAACCACGATATTGCTATTCACCGTGCTAAAACCTTCAAATAGATAAATGAAGCTATTCCGTATCCCTCCCAACTTCGCTTAAAGTAAAGGCTCAAATAGCTCCACTAACCTTAGCACAATCGCTCCAATCGGGTCAGCAATCCTCCAGTATCTATCACCAATATAGGCAAAGATGACCGCAGAAACGCGACTTGCCACATCGTTTCTGGAAAGTGCTATTATTCAGACAAGTACTACATTGAAGAGGACTGAATTCGATCGTGAAGTAACAAGCAGGTGGTAGTGTTTCCCGTGGAAGAGCGAGCGCAGTAGGTTAAGGTACGAAACCCACTGAAGCCAAATGAACCTTCCACAGCGATATGTCGACTACGAGTTTCCCTAAGGAGATAAAATGCTTCGCTTTTCCTTTAATGGGTGTGGAATGTGTCGCATAGGCCGAACAACTTCGGATACCTCAACGATCCTGCGAGGAGGAAGTTTAACACGTTGACGACAGGCTGACGCGCATGCGCGTCAGAAATTTCGCACCGCATCGGACATTCTGACGCGCATGCGCGTCAGAACTATGTCATTCATTTTTATGTGCTTGCGCTCCTTCTTCTCGAGTTTTTTGTATTCATTCTATAGATAATACATTAGCATAACTATAAACCACATGGCAGCCAGAGTGGTCAAATATCCCTTGATTTAGCAAAGATTTTCTGAACGCACAAAACTTTCATTTCAATTCTTTCCTAGTATTCCTTTCACTGTCGTAAACATTCATATGAAAGATTGTAGAAGCAGTTAATACAAAACTCTGTGAGTTTCAAGATATTTGTATTTGATGGAAGAACTTAGGTATAAATGCTTTTAACTTCATTGAAAGTGATGTTTTTTGCTTCTTCGTGGTCATTATGCGTTCTTCTGAACAAAAATCTGCCATTCATATAGTTAACCTTTATGCTTTCATCCTTGCCGAAATAATTCTGTGAGATTCAAGTTGTT